CAAGAATTTTTTTTCTTATGCTTTATTATTGAATTGAAAATTAAAATGAGCCATGACAATGACCTACTCAATGAAAAAGTACACATGTATCGCAGAACAGCAGAGTCAGTTTTTTTATTTATTGAATTAACGTTATCTGTAAAGTAAACTAATAAAATCATCTCGTATAATGCGTTTAATTATCTCCGTAATTAAATCACGGTTATGAATAACGTTCTATACAAAAATTGAAATACTCCATTATAATAAGACATTTTTTAAAACGGGTAAATAAAAGTGAAACATGTATTTACATAAAAAAAAAATACATTATTACAATCATAATAATCTTCTTTGAGCCACATATAATTATTCTTAAAATCAGATTCTAAAATGATTCTTTTAACTCTTTCCACATGGTTTTCTTTGTTCTTTTTCGAGATTTTCGAAACTATATAAGTACCGAGTAGTAGAGTACTGAAAAAATTACGAAATTGCTCAATAGATGGATATGTATTATTACGTCTATAGTGTATAGTTTTTAGAATGCATAGGTATTGCGATGCAAATTATTTCTTCTATCCCAAAAAAGTGTCCTTATAAATCATCCCTGACCAAGGAAGTATACGATAGCTTCAAACATTTTAATTTCTAAAATAAAATATTTCAAGCCGTGTTACTATATAGACGTAACTATGAAAAATAAGTGACCTCCAAACAATATGTATTGGTTCATTATAAGATTATTATTTATTATAAGATTGTAAAGGTACTATAAATTATAATAGCTTGGTGAATTATTAAAATTATCCATTGTTTTTGTTGTTCTATATCTTGTGGGAAAATACAATATTAAATCTTGATAATATAACGGAGTTTTATCACAATGCAAATATGTTACACGTGTTCATCATCTCGTTTCAAATAATACGCATATTTTTGCAATTAATAGTATTTTGAAATTGGATTCTCATGACTGGTGTTCATTACAATAAAGTCGAAGGTGAATAATTCGAAAAATCTCACTCATAAAAAATAATTAAATAAAATAATTATTCAATTTTCATAACTTTCCATTTTGTTTTTATGCAATAAGAAAACGTAGCTATGTACCTAGGTATATAGATGGTGTGTTTTACTAATATAATGCAGGTAATGTAATTTTGTATAACGCAATTTAGAATTTCTCAAAATGTTTTAAACATATTCGTTTCGTTTAACTATTTTTAGAGCTCAGGATTTATCGTTATTTATGTTAGTTACTAAAAAACTGCAGTGAGAATAAAATATAATGATTGCTAAAAATCACAGCTTACCAATTATGTAGATTTTATATTTGTATTGTTCTATAAACATTAAACAGTGTTTAAACTGCAGTCGACAAATATCAAAACTGAGTGACCGTTAAATTATAATTACATACTACGCCAATACGTTTTCAGAAATTACTGTTTATAACCTATTATTACAGATATATAAGGTTTTACCTAGGCAACTTTTTTAAATTAAAAAAATTAGTTTTAAATTAAAATTGATAAATTTTTGTTTCGCTACAATAAATACAAATATAATTCTAATTAATTAGGTACTACAATTTTAATGGGTTTAACTGTTTAAAGTGATTGACAAACTGTTTAATGTCTATTTCATTTAAAATGTATAATATTAATAAATAAAATTACATAGATAAACACGGCAAGCTACTTGATATGTTTCTCTACAAGCAAAAAAAAAAATATATGTATCTAATATTGTTTTTGTTAGTAACCATGACAAATTAAATCTTACCAAAAATCGGTCAGAAACTTTTTATCGTGTATCCAGCCCAAAAAAAAAATCATTATGTTAAGAATATGTATCATATTATTACGAAAATTTCGGATATTACAATAATATGTTAATTCATTTAATAACGCATAATAATATTTTTATTAAACATCAATTATATTCACGCTAAATATAGAATACGAATAACAGTTGTCAGTTATGCTTAAAATTCACAGATCGACATATTTGATTTTAACTTTAAAATACTCAGACATTGAAATTATCCGTGAATTTGCATTGTTCAAAACGTTCATCTAAAAATGAATTTGTTCACGTCCTATATGCAAAAATATTAACATGGTCACGTTCACTTTCCTTAAAAATAAAACTTTTTTTTGTAACAAATTATTTGTATATCTACGTTTTACATTCATTACATATAGGACATAGGAACGTACCCACGACCTACTAAATCATAATTTATTATCATATCATTTTTCCTATATTTTTAAAATTCAATACCACTATTATATGTAAAAAAGAGCTGATAAAAAAAAAGGAATTATTACTTTAAGTTATTTTAAGTTCTACGATTTTATAGTGACAACGCATATAGCCATTCGTGATTTTTTTTAAGTTTATTTAATTCAAATATGTAATAACCTTAAATGTCGTTTTTGTTATTTTATTCGCCTGAACATTCCTTTAAATACGAAATTCAGTGACAAGTGAAGATAATTATATTATATTATTAATTTATATTTAGGAAAAGTCAATAATCGTGAAAATTTGTTGAAAAAACGATCTTAGTAATTCCATTCAACTATTATTTAATATTTTTGATCTTTTGATCAAAAATTTCAAAATTTACTGAAAATATAGTTATTTATGTTCAAGTCATATTATCATTGATGAAAACGTGTGTTGTTTACGATTCCTCCATTAATACGAAGGTGAAGTGAAAATTGTGAACCATGAGCACAATTAACGCGTTTTACTAGACTCGTGTTTTATGTACTATTATGATTTATGACATAAAATTCAAAATATTTAATTATCTCAACATATGATATTTAAATAACAAAAACATTTTTTTAAGAATGTGTTTTTTTGATTTCTATTGATAATATTTTTAGTTTTTGGTATTAAAAAGATATACAAGATTTCTCTTAAAACAGTACCTATTGGCTATTTTATTCAGTATTTTTTTTAAATACTACAGTGAACCGAACTTGGTAAGAATTGTTTTTGTAACGTAAATATTTATCGTTGCTTTCATAGTATAATATTATTTATAATATCTGTATATTTATAATAATAATATTTATTGTTACCAAATTAAAATTAAATGTACAAAACATGTTATAAGCATAAATTAATTAATCTTTGGTTGCCTTTTCAAAAGCAAAGCTTTTGCAGAAAAGAGTGAGTAAGCGATGCAAAGTCTTAAGTAATTAATAAAATGATAATTCATCAAATTTTAATTTAATTTTTAATTTAATTTTTATAAAACTATAATAATATACACGAGAGAGGTGCATACCTGCTGCCTATTTTCAAGTAAAGAAAGACGAGAGTCCTTGAAACCAGGATTCTGATTCTCTTTGGACTTTTGAATGTAAAATGACAAAGATGAATTCTTGTTAATACGTGCACTACCCAGATATATACCCATCACTAAACTGTAGGTTGTAACTATTGTAGCAACTTGTAGGTAACCATACTATGAAAGTATTAAGAGGATAAGAGGACGTCAGAGCACTATTTGTTTTCTCTCTCTGCAGGCCTACGCGTAGAATAGACAAAACGCATTAACTCAGAATGTTTTTTTTCTATGTTTTTAAGTAATCTTAGAGTAAAATCACACATTACAAAAAATATAGAGAATAATATTTTTGAAGGAATGACATCTCGATTTTATATTTTATTGTTATTTGACTTTGTATTCGACTTTTAAAATAAACAAAAAAAATTTGTACATTTAAATGATGTTTAAATTGTTTTGAGACAATATTTAGACAAATAATTTGTCAATTATTGATATGACAATCCCCTAAAAGTATTATTATATTTTTTGTAATGGGTGATTTTAGTCTAAGATTACTTAAAAACAAAGAAAAAATGATTCTGCGTAAATGCGTTTTGTCTATGTTGTGTGTGGGCCAGAGAGAGAAAACAAATAGTTGGATGACATCCTCTTAATATAGGAGTTCTTTATAGGTATAGTCGTATAGACACTATTTTTACGACTGTTAAGAAAAATGTAACCCTTTCATTTTTAAATATAATTGCGAGCGGTCTACATACTGCAACTACCATACTGTCAGTACCTTTTTTGATTGTTGTGTTACGAATTGTTCGAAACAGTCATATTATTATCAGGTGTTTCTCATACTTGTGATAATTTATAATATTATGCAATGGTATAACAATAAAAATCAAAATTAATTTGCATTAGCTTGAATCACAAATTGTGTACCTAATTAGGCAAATATACTCAATGTTAGCCAATGATGTATCTAAAACAGTATTAATTGTATATGCTACAAAACTACATAAGTGAATATAAACTGTTTGAAAAAAGTTATTATGGAATTCAGGCTATTATAATGTTAATGTACCTAATAATAATATTATCATCTTATTATAAAGTGCAACTTTTTAACTTCGTTTTTTCTTTTTTTTGAAAATCAAGTGTCTGCGACCTTAATGGTCTAGGCGTATTTTTTCTAAAGCACGGTAAACGTGTTTATCAATAGAATTTCACAACTGGTGTAGGCACATCTCATAGTGGCCTACACAGACCCCAGATCAAGGTGGTTCAGTTACACTGTCCTCACGCTGTATGGACAAATTATTTCTCAGTTATCTACTTATTGCATTTTACCGTTTTTGTATATTATGATGAATATATGTAGGTACAAAATATAATATGCTAAATACAAAAATTAAAACAATACGTATATATATCATAACATTTTATTCTTTTTTATTTCATACTTTAAATAAACATATTGAACTAGCACGAATACATACAATATGTTGATACATTGTTTGTTCAGTCTTGGATAGTACATTCAATCTACTAAAATTAACGTAAACAAAATGTTGATTTACAAATCAATCCCATGAGCTTTACCATATTATGTACTTTTGATTTGTGTAACAATCAGTCACAAATCATAAATAATTAAATATATAATATCTTAATAACAAAAATATAAAACACAAGTCAACTTAAATTAAACGAACGTCTAATTGAAGCACATTGAGAAGATGAACCAGCAGATCCGTATTAATACTATTGCCATAATTGTTTTTAATAGTAAGTGTGCTTTGCGTAATCTAAAAACAAAATACAAACCATAAAAATATTTATTGATATTTTATTAAGAATAAAACCAAAAAATATATTTCGGTAATACCTATGTATATTATACTACATAAATAAAGTATAAACTGTGGATAAGGTTATACTAAATTGTTGACATTTCTAATGCAAGTTCTAATAAAATCTTCCTATTTTATAGAATAATAATGTCGTAGACAAAAGATAAGTGTTTTTACTATTAAAATATTTTACTAATGATCGAAGATTTAGTACAAACACGGAACACAGTACTTCAATATGAAAATAGGAATAACCGAATAAACATATAACTGATTAGCTACTTTAAGTTCTAGCAAATTTATGTTTCATTCATAAGTCACACAGACGCACAGTAATTATTGCCAATTGGTCAAAAATATTATAGTTGTAGGTACTAGGTAGGTACTTAAGTACTACTGTAGTTACTATACAATTTAAGCACATTAATGATTTACGCGTTTCGACTTGATTTGTTTATGAATTAACTTTAGTAAAAACTTCCGCATCATTCAAGATAAACGTATTTATATAGGTACATATTTTAGGTATAACATTTTTATTATTTGATCAACGCAATAATTTATTATTAGAATCATTACTATATATAAATCAACTTACTTTTCCCATTTAATTCTTGCATTTTTGATTGTATGTATGTCATCTTTGACCAAGTACAAACGCAGACCGATAGCACAAGCTCGAGCGTAATAGTCCCAAGACATTTCTTTTATGTCGAAAAAGAATATCTTTTTGTCCAATTCTGACATTTCCTTCCACAATGTACTGGTGTTATTGTCATTGAATTCCCATTGATTATTTGCAAAGAAAGCTAGTGCAGAGTTAGCTTTTTTCATTTTTTTATAGATGTTAGTAAGCCTGTAGACATAAGTTCAACACATTATAATATAATCAATGATATGTGAATATTTTCAATAAACGAATTTTGTTTTATTCTTACATTGGCTTCCTGCCGGTTATCTGGCACAAAAAGTCCAAAAAGTAACCGGGTATCGTGTGAAATAATAAGAATAATAAGGAATATAGATATGGATTGTTAGTGGGCATAAACGAGTAGTACCAAACTGCATTGATGGTAGGCCAGTTAGGGAGTCCGTATCTCTTGATTACGTCGAAGAAATTTTCTAAGCTAATTGGATTCTGCTTAGAGCTGACGTAATTAAAAATAGGTGGACTTGATTCACTGAAAAAAAAACAAATATATTAAAAAATAAATTGATTCAATTTGCAAAATAAAATAAAGATTTGTTTGACCTTCAACCACACACGAACAAAAAATTATACATTTTCAAAAAGCTTGAAACTCAATCAAATATAAATCCGATTACAAAATATATTTCCATTGCATTTTATTGCAAGTGTTTACATGACTACAGAGTAACCCAAAAATCTTTTTCATAAAATATTATATTTTACTTTGGCTATTAGGATAAGAATTTTTTTACGGGTATTGATTGGTGAGGATTCCAATTATTATTCACAAGTGTGATGGACAAAATATTAAATACTATACTATAGTCTATAGGTAAATAAAGTGTACCTATAACTATTAAGCCATGGTTGTCAGTCAATGCTAAGTGCTAACAGCATCCTTCGAAATACGATATTTAATGGGAACTTACATTGTTGGTGTAGTTTTGCTGACTTTATAAGCCGAGCATATCAGTGCATTAACAACCAAGTCTACTGGAACTAAGTCGACGACCTTGGTAACATCACAGTGATGTGTGTGAAGTACTCCGGCACCGACTCCCACAATCATACCAATGGGACCATAAACGTTATCGATCCAACCGCGAACAGGTTCATTATATGTCGAAATAACTGCAATAAAGTAATAATACTACAAGTATAAAATTTGTAAAAAAAATAATATTAATTACAAATTGTACACAATACTAACCGACTGACGGTCTGAATATGCCAAGCGGTAGCCCGACAGCCTCGTGTTTGGCTAAATCTTCGGCTAAAGCTTTCGTGAAAGTGTACGTGTTTGGCCAACCAGCAGTTAAGCTAAAAGTGTAAACATTTTTATTAAAAAAATTAACGATAAACAGTGTATTTTTGTGTAGAATTAATAGTAGTTTACGTACCTCGGTGTGATATCTTCTAACTTTTTATCGTTGTTGGCCGAAGTCACCAAGGATATCACTCCATTGTAATTATACGGTGCTTCGTAAAATTTTTCTTCGATTTTACTATGCACGCAATTGGCATACGCAGTCGACACGTACATACAAGCCTGTAAACACATTTATTTAAATTCAAAAAAATTTAATTGATTGCATTTTAATTTTAATATATTAAGTTAAGACATTATAAATACTGGAATAATTAGGTGCCTAAAACCTATCAGTAAATTACAATATCAAGACTTATTGTCAAATATAACTAGAATACTACTATATTAGATATATATAGTCTGCAATTGTGAACAAGTAAATGTTGGTGCGTAGAATAATAAAAAGTATAATTTAAAACATTTCTTTTTTTATACAAACAATAATAAATTCTGAGAAAATAGAGATGCATAATAAACGCTTAGTAAAATAACTAATAAATTGAGGTCTCGAAGCATGAATATAGATCGATAAAACAGTAATAAGAGACAATGAATATTGTATTTAATTACACTTGAATGTATACCTATTATACTACAGTAATGTATTCACACTTTGACATTTGAAAAATATCAATAGGTACCTACACACTTTTTCACTCGTTTTTATTATATAATTGGTACGTAGGTACAACCATATTATAATATTTTGGCCAAATGTCGTTGTGTTGATACTTGATTTGTTTTTTTTTTCAATAAATATACTCAATAGTCAATATGTACAACAGGTACCTGGCAAAGGTACACGTCTTGATAAAATTACCAGTTTAAATAAAATTCCGGTATCATAAATTCATAGAGCAGGAACTAAAACCAGTCTCGATCATGCGGTGTATTACATTTTTCTAAGAGGTAAAAACTGCCTACGATATGGTACAATTTGCTATTCAGTGCCACGCCAAGGCCTTCGGTGCAAAACATGACTGTAGAACTAGATTTTGAAGTTGACCCTACGAACGAGTTACATTTTTTACGGATATTCGTTCACGTACAAGTGCATTTTAGTACATAAAACGAATAATCGCATAATCAATAATGGTAAGAAACAACATAAATATATATTCTGACTTCTGAGCAATATATTATAGGTATAATATTAAATTTTAACGTAAATACCCTATGGAGAAAATTGTTCCAACTCGTCATGTTAGGTACAATCAAAATAATATGTACACTAAATTGGGGTTGGGCTGAATATTGCGTATAAAATATATGGGTAGAGTCTATACTCTGAAGTGTTCTTCACTTAGATCGTCATCGTTACGTAATTGCAGGAAAGTAGTTTTGGGTGTATTGAGGGTATTTTTAAGACTTGATCTCGTTTAAGAGGTTGAGTACCTTGAAGGCTCGAAATAAACTTATTGTTCGTAAATTATAATATTATTATGTCTTGTTCTTGTTCTCTACGGATGTTTTTGGAAATTTCCCTACACCCTAACATTTTTTTTTCCAAATGAAAAATTATTGCATCCCGACGGATACCTATACTATGGTATAGGTTCTTACTATATAGTGTACATTTTTTATGAGCTATTTAACTTTGAACAACTTGTTCACTTATTGTCGTTTGCGGTCATCGCTAAACGCGCAATCGTTTGATCACGGCGATTTACTGATACCTATTTAATATTAATTACACGACATAAAAGTGCACGGTTCTGAAAATTGGAATTCGAAGGTATGCGAAATGGTAAGTTTAGTAAAACATATTAAATAAGGTATAGTAAATAGATGGCAGTTAAAAAAATATATAAATCACGGGCCGAGGATATCAACAGCCAAAACCTCTCGGTGCGTCACCTGCATGCTCCAATAACAGCGAACGGCCGCGTCATTGTACAATGTTTTTTGCTTTTTTTTTTTAACATGACGCAACTCACCATTAATGTATATACCATTGTATTTTAATGATATTGACCCCTTTGAGCGTATAAATAATAATTTCGTCTAGTACGTTTTTAATTATTAACAAGTGTTCAAATTATTGTTACCTTAAGATTAGTTATTTCTTTAGCCAGGTTGATGATTTCCCTTGTACCAAGGACATTGATGTTGATCGCTGTGCGTATGTGTTCGTCGAACCTGATCGTAGCTGCTGCGTGGAATACGATATTAACATTTTCAACCAATGTCTGTCTATCGCGGGCAGATATGCCTAATCCTGGCAAAGATGCATCGCCAGCGATCGCAGATATCTTGTGATAGAACTTCGGCCTCTCGTGTTTCAATCGCATGAACAACTAAAGTAACAACACAAATAACAATATGGTTTAAAATAAAATGCACAGAATAGTTACTTTTGTTTCCAAATAAACGAAAAAAAAATGTTTTAAGTAGATTATCGATAAGACGGATTTTAGTGTTTACTTTACACTGCTAAAAGTGATTATTTATAATTTGTTATTAACATATTATTATTGTGACGACATATTTTCTTGTAATCATTAAAGTGCAATAATATATTTTATAATATTTAATATAATATATTAACGAAACAATAAGGGTCATCCGATGAATTATTAATCATTAATTTTGTCGTTTCTACATGAAAAAAATAAAATTAAACGTGCAAACTACTGCGACATCGATGTGTGTGTATAATAATAACGAAGTATCAGTGACCCCATTTAGAAAAAAATCTATATGCATCGTAAGTGCTCACTTCTTTGAGTCACGTATTTTATTACAACTGATGTATCCATAAATAATATTATGGTATGTTAATATGATAAAATGTGTCTGCAGTGTATTTCGAAAAATAAAATAAAATGTTTAAAATATAGTTCTTAGCCATTTTTATGAAAGCATGCGTCGTTTTTTTTTTTCAAAATAGCAATTTAACATTTTTTGAAAATTAATACAAGAAGTGCCTAAATGTCTTGCAATTTATTGCTAATTTCACAATGGATAGCTCAACAATTGTTACCTAACAAAAGAGTTGTGTTTTTAGCACGGATAAAGTTGGTTTTTACTAACCATTAAAGACCTTGAAATAAAGTACCTATTTTTCCTTTAGTTCATAAGTTCTTTACTATCAGAAGTATCAAGGAAGGTAGTACCTAAAATAAAACCAGTCTGTATCTGTAATCTATGGAAACAGCTATTTTATGTTGTTTACAAAGGAAAAACTAGTTTATATAAATGTTTTTATTAAAAAATGTTATATCATAATGTAATGTTAAAATCTCATTGATATAAAACAAAATGTCCTAAATTATGTAAATTCTTCGTTTCTAAAATTTCTTTAGAACTGCCTATTTGAACGTAGTCCCTTAAATTGTCTTAAACATAAAATTAATATACACTTACACATATTTTTAAAAATACAATTTTTCAACAAAATAAACTTGAATATCAATGCGTATAACAAGTATTTGTAGGAAATTAAAATGATTTTTTTAATTCATTCTAACATAAATAAGTACCTAATTTCCATTTTATGAGACACACAATTTCATATTTAAAAAAAACGTGAGTTGACTTCAAATTTACTCTAAATTAATTATTATTTTTTTTGTAACTTGTCAAACAGGTGCCTGTTATAAATTCATATAATCATTTCTTTTAATTAAATAGACATAACCATATAAGTGTATGCAAATTAAGTTATTGTTTCTTACCGAAAGCTTTTATATATCATCAAACGTATATTGCCATTTACATTACTCTTAATTTCCAGCTATACTAAAGGTATTTATTATTTATTCAATAAAACGCTTATTACAATAATGAATGAATAAGTACGGTGTAGAATATAATAGATATTTCGACAATTTATTTTCTATGATATTTTAATGTTTTATTTTTAGGGTTATATACTTTTATATTAATTGTTAACTGTAAATTGTAAAATGTTCAATATAGATATAATAAGAAATATTTTGTACTACTCGTACCTAGTGTTTAAATATTTTAAGTTTCATAATTTAAAAAAAAAAGAAAAATAAATCCCAGTAACTATGCTCGATTAATCCAAAAAGGTATTTTTAATTAAAAACGTGATCAACAAAATGGTCTTACCCTATCTTCAAATATTGCATCGATACGTTCATTAACATCTTTGCCTTTCTTATTCCTAATCAACAAGTAGATATGCTTGAGATGTGGACAGGATCTACTGAGCTTTTCGATGAGCATCTTTCCCATAAATCCAGTGCCACCGGTGATGAAAATAGAGGCATTTTTATAGAACTCCTGCACATCTGATCTCGGTAGCTTATCGGTTTCCTCTAAGGTCGAAGGATTGTCAAAACTCAGTTCACCTACCAGCTGCAACGGGTTCAATGGAAAATCGTCGGTCACAATGTCCTTTATAATTTCGTCATAAGATTTTTTGGATTTCTTGAATTCGTTTTTTCGATGTAGATCTAACGCCATTTTTTCTGTATGGGTATAAACAAATTTGGATTTTTTTTTTAAATATTACGATAATCAAGTGATTTCACGTTTTCATCCAACTCTAACAGTATGTTAATAAAATGTTCTAAAAAGATTCACTAAAAAAATTTAAGTAACCGAACTTTGAGTAAAAAAAATTGTTCTAATAAAAAAAACTCAACTACGATTTACTTTTGATAAAAAAAAAATATCACACTGCACAACCGTAAAGGTCTGAGCACTTGTGTATACTTTGGACTACGAGTAACGTCTGAAAACAATTCTCGCGTGCTCGTCTACATATTATTTATTTTTGACCTTGAGTTCCGAGCCAATGTTCCTATTGGAGATCGTTGGCCGTGGGACGACTTCCTAATCCTCACATTCAGTACAACTGGCTTACTCGGCCAAGGTAATGTTAAATATGAATTTGGATATTTTTTTTTGAGATCACAAATTCGCAAACGCAAAACCGACCATTAATACACTGCAGTGGTGGGCGGGTGTGTTATTGTCACTTATCAATATTTTTCATGATTATTTTTGTACAACAGTTCACTTTATACGCAATTAACAAGTATTTAAGTAATTTTTCAAAATCAAATGAAAAATAATTACTTACATAGATTAATTGATGGTAAATATTAAATAAACAACACATTTTGATTTCTTTCTTCATTTGAATAGGTACATATATTAAAAATATATAATTTTTTCATATAAATAAATAAAAATTATTTTTAGTAAATGTAATGTAACAAAATAAATATATACATTATACCTATATAATATTTATAATTATATAATTTCATAACTTTGTATAATTGAGATGAATACTGGTTTTCAGTATTTATCTCAATTATACTTGGACTCATACTTTACTTATGTGCTTTGAATTACATTGCAAAATCCAAATTCGTATTTTCAGTTCCTATACATATACTTCTAATTTGTTTTCAGATGAAAAATACCTTACACAAAAATTGTAAATTCGAAATTAAAAAACTCGGGGAAGTCGCTCTGCTGTAACGCTCTGATAACTGTTCAGTGTACCTTACATTGAGTAGGTCATTGTGTAAGATGTGTTAAATTTGAATTCGATTGTAAATTATGTTTTCGAAACACTATTCTAAGAGTCGGCAGTGTTAGACTTATAATTAATCATTTTATATATTATAATTAATTTATATAACCATTAGATATAGTAATTAATTTTTTTGTACTTATTATACAAAAGGTTAGGTACTTAAAGTATAATTTTGCAAAAACATAGTATATTATACTAAACTTAAATTTTTTATTGTTTTCTATAATATGTAATTTTCTAACTCATTGTACCTCACTACTTGTTGTATTAAAATAGCTGTTTGGCGTTATTTTGAACAAATATGAAATATTATTGATATACATTTTTAACTTACAAGTCAATATACCGATGTAAGTACCGTAGAATTGTATGAATAGGTTCATGGTTACCTATGATAATATTTTTATTATCAGAACAAAATAACTAATATCGTTTTTTTTTTTCATACAAATATTTTAACTTCTAATAACTTTCAAAAAAAAAACTCAGATATTTTTAAATTATTAAATTTCAATTAGAATTAATAACCTTGTACTAAATTATCAAGCCTTAGCTATAACTACAAAATAGTTTGGACGTTTCAATATAATGATCTACACTCTACAGTGTTTTAATATTCAACGTAATTATAATGTAAACAATTGTAAACCCAATTAACAACTAAGCGGTTGATGCAATAAAAATAAACACTGGATTTTTCCTCTACAAGGAAAATCTATGTATCATAAATATGTTAATAAGTAACCTCGACAAAGAAAACCTCATTAAAAATAGGGGAGAAACAAAAAAAAATTTACCCATCACAAAAACATATTATTTGTGTAAATTAAAGTATTTTGATTGTAAATAAATATTATGTTATTTCAATACATAATCTATTAATCTGTGACGGAAAGACCATTAAGACAATGGAACAAAATAGAGGGAAAAAAGCCATAATCATAAATATTTTCTTTAGTAAAATTTCAACAAAAATACGGGTTTAATTTTTTTAAAATTTTCTTTGTTACATTCTATACATTTCAGAATTATTAAATTTGCTATTAAATATTATTAATTAATTAATAATATATTATAAAAACAAACTGTGGTAAAGGAGTACAAATTTACAAAATAAATTACTTTACAAGTATTTAAGCGGTGCTTAATTTATTATGCCATAGAGAGTGTGAACAAATTAAGTTTTGTCTCAAAATAAGTTGGGTACAATAAATACTCTATAATTGTATGAATGCTTAAAATAAATTATTTTAAAAACTTTCCAGTAGTTCAGAAGAAAAATTGCAAATACATTTTACAAAATGAATTAAAATCAAATATGTGATAAATAAAAACATCTTTAGTTGTGTTTTCCAGTGAAAATACATCAAACCATGATTTTAAACACTCACAATTCGCAATATAAAATACATTTTTGAAAACATTCACTCAGTCTAAAATAGCATAACAATAAACATTTTCAAAAAGTCCAACAAGTATAAATTATAGTTTACCGACTTCTTCAAGAGTATATACAGCAGTGGTGATGTGGGGGGGCTATGGAAATATTTTTTCAATGTGAATATAATACATACTGGAAATTATCAAACAAATAAATTCAAATAAATACAAAAAAAAATTACACGTGGTCAAAAATTTTAAATTCCGAACAAAAATAAGGGGTTCGGGAATTAGGTTTGTTAGGAATTAAAAAAAAAAATTAATAGTAGTAATAATACTGTTAATGATAGATATTTATATAAAAAAATTGTTATTTCATTATAGGTAATGACTACAATAATACGTATTTCACATAACATTAGTGGTATTATATATAATTAGGTCTAAGATGTATATGCAATTAAAAAATATGATGAAATATGCATTCAGTAGTTTTATTAAAAATATGCAAATATATGCAATAAAAACAAATAATTTTAAATAAACACAAATGTTTACAATGTTCTAATTTCTAAAAAAAGTACTACTCTAAATAAAAATGTTACAACATGCCAAAAAAATATGATAAAAAGGACACTACACTTATTAGTAGATTACAAAAACATTTTTAAAAAGTTCTAAAACCTAAAACAATATTGTTCTAAAATTATAAACGCTATTTAAATGGTTTTGATGAACCAATTACATGATATTTTTATTTTTCAAAAATTAACAAACTTCTTTTAGACCTTAATAATATTATGTTCTTATGTTTACTAAAACTCTGTCCGACATGATAATATATATGACGTAATTTTCACGTATCTAAATTTTTTTACTTCCCCAAGAGTTAGATTTCTGATATTCTCATCCATTTAAAACTACGCATGACGACATGACGTATCATAAACATAGGTTTTAGTCCTGAATTTTTTCCTAGCACATTTTTTAATATTTGGGTATTTTCATAATTTCATATACCTTGTGATAAAATATTATGTAACAAAATATACTTATTTAAATAGTATATTTTCCGAAATTTTAGAGTTAGAGTATTATGCAAATATACATTTTATTCAATAAGTATATAAAAATATGCAAATAAAAAAACACTATCCAATATTTATCTCAGTCAGCCTACTGACTCGTGGACGTTACTGACATGAGAAGTAATAAGGAGTTGCAAAAAAAAAAAACACACCGAGGCTTATAAGTCCTAGGCCTGCATATAACAGGTACATGGCGGAAATATAATATGTATTTTAATATTTTATACAGTAGGTACTGCACGTATTATAAAATAATTAGGTAGTTATAATATTACACAAGATATTATAGTCAATAGATTTAGTCACAGATCTCACCATCACGTCTCGTTAAACCGGGTCCGCACGACGTTAATTTTTATCGAAAACGATAGTGTTTCAATCGTAATACCAAGTATAATTAGAGTATATAAATAAGAGATGGTCACCGTGAGGACGGCATGATAGTTGCTTGCCGCAATGTCATGATATAGAGCTACCTATTCAATTATCGCACTATAAAATGTGCACAATATTTGATAGTGGAATTGGTGGGTTTGTGCCTCACCTAAAATGACCTTTTTTCTTTATCTTTGACTACCAATATACCTTGAAACTACTATGTTTTGTAGTTTTGTACATACTGGTAAAGTTTAATTCCTCGCCCCCCCCCCCCCTTACAAAATGTATACGTCAATGAACCTCTTCCAAGAATTTACTTAAAAATTTGATGGTTTAGGTAGCCAGGTAGGTACCTCAGTTTTTAAATTTCCAATAATTTTAAGCACCGTTATCCTGTGCTGATACAGAAGCGAGACGACTGCATATTATCAATCAATATAATTATTTGTTATATACAGTGCTGTAAGCATTTTGCATGGCGCAATAATTGTTTATAGATATATAATGTATTAATGTATTATGTAAGTATATTCAGTATCCAAATTTAAAATTTTAAAAATGTTGTGGATACCATACTACAATAATATAAGAACTTATTAAACTACCACATTATTCTTACGTAAATTTAAATTTCTATGCTTGTAATTTTTCCCAATAAAAATTATTTCCTTGAAACGTTGAAATTACTGAAAATAATTCTATTTTTTTAATACTCAGATGTTTAAAACGGGTTTTTAAGCTGATAGGTTTTAAATTATATGATAATAATTATTAATACATTATAATATATAATATATCGTATATAATAGTATTATCTCGTTTATTTTTCAACTTCAGAAAAATAAACTACCAAAACTTTTAAATACTATGTATGAAATTGAATATTGTTAAGTATAATATTCTTATGACTAATCATTATTCTATGGACAGGAAATAATAAGTATTAATCAATATATATATTATATATTCTTGTTTTGATTTTATTTTGGCATTTTATCATTGCAGTATGAACTATGAGTTATTGTCGTTATTGAGTTGTCACTATTGTCACTGTTCTCAACAAGTTC